CAGCCCTTACCTGTGGAACGGAGATCTGATACGGGCATGGTGCCCGCGGGGCTCATCTCGCCCACGCACGGCCCAGGCTCGCACAGGCAGAGCCTTTTTTTTCTTTCTTTCTTTTCCTTCTGCTTGTGTCAAAGCTGGGGTGGAAGAAGAGGGAGGATCTGCCTTGGCACTGGGCAAAATAACCTCAGTGCTGAGCATCCCAGGGCTGCGTCCTGCCAGGATGGTTCTGAGAGCAAGATCCCACCTCTCTAGTGCAATTTAGCAGCTGTCTATCAAATTGCAAGAGATTTCTTCACCCAGGAAGGCTTGTGTCAGGGCTCTGCAGGTTGCTCAATGCTCTGGCTTTGGGCCAGGCTGCAGGGAGCGCGGCTGGGGGGGACCGGGAGGGAGGATGTACGAGGGCATTCTTCGAAAGAGCTGTGCTTTGGGGCTCTGGGCAGGGGCTGGGGCAAGTCGAAGAGATCAGTGAGAAAACGGGGAAAGGGGTGAAAATAACTTCTGGGTACTGCATGGGCTGGGAGCTGGGGATCATGCAGGATTTGTGCTGGAAAGGGGCTGCGCAGCCCAGCCAAGCCCTACGCTGCTGGCTGGGAAGACGCTGCTGTGCTGGAAAGGCGGCTTGGCACATGGAGGAGGGGGATTCTGCCCCACTGTAAAGCTGAGGAGCGGGGCCGGGACCGTGTCACGAGCTGCACAGTCCTGCTAACCCTCCAGCGGTCGCCGTCTCGGGGCTGCCCACAGCAGGGCAAAGGTACGGACTGGTTTGGAGACTGCAGCCTGGGGCAAAGCCAGCAGAACAGACAGACCACATGCAAATATCCATTAGATAATTCACTTTTGGGCCATCCTAGCTAGGAAGAGGGGAGCTGGCCCTCCCAGAGAGTCTTTTGAGGAAGCTTCTGTGGTTTTTTTATAGCAAAAGTCATGCCCTTATCCCTCCTCCCTTTCCTGGAAGCTGCTGCTCACAGAGGAGCTGTCAGATGCCTAGGTGGGAGCATGTCCCTGCCCATCTCCTACCAGGCACTTGTGACACTGCAGAAAGAGGTATTTTGGTTAAAAATCCAGTGCCCCCAAAAATAAACCCCATAGCACACATCACCACTGGCTTCTCCTGCATCCTTAGCGCTGCGCAGCCCAAATCTCCAGGCAGGACAAGATGAGGTTTACCCCTTGCAGAGGGACGTGATGCAGGCGCTGCAAATTCTGGGTCATTAATTGCTCCCAAATCACCTTCTCAGGGTGGCACGGGGGGAGGGTTGCACCTCCTAAGCCGGGGTTTGGTGGCTCTCCCTTGGCAGCTCATCGAGCTCACGCGGCCCGTGGACGCCCACCTGGAGCACGTGGAGTTTCAGGCTCTGCTCCAGCGGCTCAGCCCCCACCTCATCCTGCACATCTTCGCCTCCGCCGTGTTGGAGCGACGGCTCATTTTCCTGGCAGAGGAGCTGAGGTGAGTCCTGATCTGTTTAGTTAAAAATAAAACAAACCAAAAAAACACCCTTGAAGGAGTGCAGGAGACAGCTGAGCTCGGGATGTTCCCTCCGAGCAGTGAAATCCTCTTTGCTCACACAATGCCACCACGATGGCTCCTTGTCCCGCAGCGTCCTGTCACAGTGCATCCACGCCGTGGCTGCTCTCCTCTACCCCTTCACCTGGGCTCACACCTACATCCCTGTGGTCCCCGAGTGCCTGCTCGACACCGTCTGCTGCCCCACGCCCTTCATGGTCAAAGCGGTCGGGCGCACCCCCCCCCCCAGCCGATGGAGGAGGTATTTCATCCAGGCGGGGGAATGCATCTGGTTGGAGCCATTGGTTAGTCCATGACCCTGGGTTTGGGTTGGCTCCGGGGCTGAAGGCTCCTGGTTGTGCCCTTTTCCCATCCAGGGAGGCTGGAGATTGGGGTTTCTTGCACGTCCCCTCCTGTTGGCACCTGGGGCAACACCTCCACATCCCCCTGGGTGCTGCTGGCCACCCCAGGGCCCCCAGCCCTGACCCTGGGGGCTCAGGGAGCTGCTGGCGGCCAGGCTGGCTGTTGGCATCGTCCCAACCTTGCAGAAGCAGAGAAAGGCTGCGTGGGGACAAGCCACCAAGCCTGGGGCAAACACGGTCCCTTGGGGGACGCCCTGGCCCCCTTGCCCAGGTCCCTCCAGTACAGAGGGACCGATCCTTCTCCCGCTGCCCTCGTGGGCTGCAGGCACAGTGGTCTGGTCATAAAATGGGTGGGAGGAAGCCTGGCTGCCTTGGTAGGGCTAAACCTGGTTGCTCTCTGCTCTCTTTCAGGCTCTGATAGTTGACCTCTGTGAAGGGAAGATCCTCCGGGCGGTAGGTCCCCCATGCAGTGCGTGGGGGTGGGCTCGCCTGGCCTGGGAAGGGCCCCTTTCCACCCTTGGTCCCAGCTACCCGGCAGCTTTCACACTGTGGGGACAGAGGCCTCCCGGTGTCACCCATGCAGGGGTAATGTCCCACACAGGGATGTCTCCATCCGCTGCATCTCTCTTGTCGTGAGCCGGAGCAGCAGGGTCCGTGTGTTGGGCATCCCACGCCCCGCGTCGCCGCAGCAGCCCGCGGTGATAATTCATTAGTGAGCTCTGCAGAAAGCCCCACTGATGGGCTGCACTAACTGCTGCCCGCGGCTGTGTGAGACGGCTTCCCACCAGCGCCGGGCGCTTCACAGCCCCGTTGCCTTCCAGGTCGGCGATGAGGAGGAGATCTTGCCCATCAAGCTGCAGAATGAGATGCTGACGTCTCTGAACAGGCACAACAACAACAATAATGTACACAGTAAGGGAATCTCTTTACATATGGTAAAACAGATGCAAGCTGCCTTCTGCAGATGGCCAGAATCCTCAGTGAAATGGTTTTCCTAAAGAGACCTGGGATGTTTCTGCCCCAGTTTGCAATAAAATGGTGCCACAGGAGAGAAATCTCTTGGCCTTTCCCCTTTCCTGCGAAACATGAGAGCAGGAACAATTAATTTTGCTGAAAAAAAATCGGGTTTTGCCTGTAGTTGGACCGCAAAGATGCCACCCTGGAAAGCAAACACAGCCAGTGCTCCCTCAGCAAAATTGGGCTGATCTTTGCTTACTGGCAGATGGAGATTTTAAGATTTAGATTTCAGATTTAGTAAGTAAATTCCCAGGATGCAAGCAGAGACTGTGAACTGGCCAGGTTAAAATAGGTCCATCCTTTCCATGCTCAGAGGTCCCATCCCCACCTCTTGTGCTCCATGTCCTCTTCCAGCATCCGAGCAGGTGAACGCACTCGTCTCCGAAGCCTTCGTGCAGTTCTTCGTCCGAATGGTTGGCCACTACACCTCCCACATCAAGTGGAGTAAAAGCGGCTCAGGGACCTTCCAGGAGCGAGCCTTCTGCAAAGCCCTCACCTCCAAGACCAACCGCAAGTTTGTGAAGAAGTTTGTGAAGACGAACATGTTTTCCCTATTTATTGAGGAAGCAGAGAAGAGCAGGATCCCACAGGAAGGTAAAATGGCCCCATTTCTCCTTCCCTCTCCGATCGGGTGAGCTGTTTGGTTAAGGGAAGGAGGTGCCCCGTGCCCGGAGAGGGATACAGCTTGAGGCTGAGGATGCTCAGGGCGGCGAGTAGCACCCGTTTGCTCTCAACAGCCACATTTCTCTGTCCCTGGGCTCATTTTAGATCTTGTCGCTTGATGGGGACAGGGCAGGCTTACTGAGAGCTCAGCGTTTAGGCAAACATGCCAGTAGCAGCGCAAATATTTGGCTTTGACGCCGGCGGCAGCTGGGAGCTGGCTCCTGGCTGTGCTGCCTGCGAGCCCTGACTCATCTCTGCCACCGGCTCCGGCGCAGACCGTGGCGGCTGGGTTGGCCCTTTCCCCTTCCAGGGGATTTACAGGGCACCGGGCAGAGCCAATCCGCCTCCCAGCCCGGGATGAGGACAAACGGGGCGATGGAGGTTGAGGAAGCCACCCAGAACATCTGCCGGCGGCCAGAGACATCCTGGCCTGGGGCTCAGCGACCCCAGGGTCTTGCCGCACTTGGGAGAGAGGGTGAGAGGGTGCAGTCCTCGTGCTTTATCAGCAACTGCTGCGTCGGAGCAAAGCAAAGAGCCCCTCGGACGGGGCGGCGAGCGGCAGATCCTGCCAGTGGTGGGTCCGTCTGCAGCCCGCCCAGGGGACTCGGAGCCCAGCACTACTCCTTTGCTGCTTTCTCTGCCCTTTTAGGTCTGACTTTACAGGGCAGATGTGGACCAGGGTCTGCCCGGGGTTGGCAGAGGGGGATGGCACAATCCCAGCTTTCTCATTACGTGACCTTTTTGGCTATTTGCCTTCCCAGGGTCTCACACTTTCTCTCTTCCTGGCTGGTTGGAGAGGAAAGACACAAACTGAACAGGAGCGAAGGGCTGAAAACTTAACGCTAACCCAGCATAATAAAGCCCATTTTGGGTGGGTGAGAGGGGTGAGTGCAATTGCAACAACCCTGATTTCACCTGGGTGCTCACCTGGGTGCAGTTGTCCATAGCCCAGGGTGGTTTGGCTCTGGAGGTGCATACGCGCTCCCCAGGACTCAGGCTGCATCCAGCCCCGTATCCTCCCCAGCCCGAACGCTTAGATTTCACTAATGACCTTTTCTCATCCACAGCATATTTCCAGCAGAAAATAAGAGAGTACCACGAACAAAAGAAGCACCGAAGGGACTCCTGAAGTCCAGCCGGGGACCACAGGAGCAGGGCTGGGACCGAGCCGGTCCCCGCCAGCAGTGCCACGCTGCGCAGACTGGACGTGTGCCCCTTCCAAGGGCAGAGCACGCCGGTTCCTACCCACCTGTGACTCGTGAGACGCGTGGGCAGCACCGAACACCGTCTTCTACCCTTTCTTTTTTCCTCAGGGCATCACTGCACTGGAAAACTCTTTTGCACAGAGCTAGCAAAGCAGGCTGTGATTTCTCTTCCGATCTTCCTAGCAACAGGGACAAACTGGGACTCCCAGTGCCCGGCCCTGTCCAGAGTCTTTGGCTCCATCAGGACCTCCTGCAGCGAGGGAGGGAAGTCAGGGAGCTGGCTGCAGGACAACAACAGTTGTAGAGTAATTGTTAGTGGGGGGAAGGATTAGTAGGAAATAGTGTTATTTTTAATTAAAACAAACCTAGGTTTTGCAAATAAGTAACATCCTTTTGAATAAGTTTCTGAGGTTTCTATAATTAACAACTGTTTCACTTTATTTTGTATGGAGATATGTTCATTGTTAAATACCGGCAGGAACAGTTGCAGTGGGTTTCAGTGGTTTCCTCGTCTGCTTCGTTGGTACCACTTAGAGCCCAGTTTAGCTCCTTAAAGAAACAAAAACATTCTTTTCCAACAGGTTATTTATTTGTGCTGTAAGCAAACTGTGAAGGCCACAGGGCTGTGTTTTGTAGCAGAGGGAAACGGCCGATCAACAGCTTTGGGTAGGGAGGAAGTATTTGTTAAATCCAGTAGTAAAACATGTCGACATCCTCCTGGTTTCTGGTTTTGATGCCAACTTTTGAAACGTTGCAGTTCATTGAAGCACTGTCTCTGAAATGCGATGCCTGCAGCAGATCTAAAGCTAAATTATGGTTCTTCCCCTTTCCTAATGCACTCATCCAGGGAATAAATATTGCAGCAGGGGAAGCGGGTGCTGGCCACAGATCTGTCTGGTTCCTTCCCAGACAAAGCAGGGCCAGATTATTTCTCCCAGCAAGAGCTGGGGTCGAAGGCAGAGCTTCATCCTCCTCTCCGGGATGTTACAGCCAAGCTGCCCATATCACTCGGTACCCACTAGACATGTGCACGCATGCAGATATTATAAAAAACATAGCTTAATACAACTTTTGCAGCAGTAGTGAATGCCACGGTGAGAGATTTTACATAAAGACGGAAAAATAAGCAGGCTGACTGCCAGACAGCTTTTGCTTTCAGAGCTGTATGAACGTCTAACGAAACGAGACAGATGGAAAGGGCATTTATTTTAGAGGTAACTCTTTGTGCAGTCACGCACAATTGTAAGCAACAGAAATGCAGGGCAGAGGGTACAAACAGAATAGCAATAAAATTCTCTAGCCCCGCTGCAAGAGAATTGTTGATTTTTGCTCAGCCCCCATGTGTGTCTGGAGGGGGGAACAAGAATTATTTGTTAGAAAAAAAAGCAGATTTTTGGCACTGTGGGTATCTTCTCTGGCTCCACAAGTTCCCTCTTGTGAGTGGAAATAGTGTTACAGGTTTAACCACAGGAAATTAAAGGTTAGTGGTCTTTTTCTGTGTTTTTTTCATTTAAAAAAAGTTCACCTGCCAGCAGGAAATGGTGTGTGTGGAAAATGAAGAGCACCTATCAAGAATTGTCCCTTTTGAGAGCCCACCTGCCTCCCACTTCTCCTGCTTGTTCTTTACCATTTTGAGAGGATGCCAACCATTTTGGTTGTGAAGCGTTAACACCGTCTCATTCAGACAAATGGGAAGTGGCCCTTCCTGTGGCAGTAGCTCTTTAGAAATTAAGAACTAGAAATCACATAAGGGACTGCTTAATTCCCACCAGAGAAAAAGATTATTCCTTAGCTGCTGAAGAGCGATACAGAAAACCTGATCTTTAAATTTAAAAAAAATGTTCAAATGTAGCCACTGCTACAGGTGTCAGCAAGGGTTAACTACAGCGAGTTGGAAGGGTTGGTGCTTGTGTGACTGCTAAACAAAGAACAGGTTGAAATCTTAAGTTCCTTAAAGCACTTTTCCTTTTAGTATTGTTATGGAAAAAGGGACCTAGATCCATTCCCAGCAACCAGCCTGGAAAAGCATCCTTTGGGAAGCACATCAGCTCTGAGCTCAGCTTCTCAGTTGGCTACGGGAAGACAAAAGGAACAGGTACAGAGTAACAGGAGCAACTAGGCACCTTCCTGGCATGAATTTCTCTCCCTACCATCCAGCAGCAGCTTCGGAGCTACAGGTGGTGACTGAAGATGCTGGAAAGAAAGAAAACAAGCCCAGGGGCAACCTCCCCGTACACTCCTCTCGCCTCTTTTCCCTTTCAGTATGCTGCTACTCTTCCCAACAGCTCTGTTCTCCTTTCCTAAGCCTGTGTGACGGATGTTGTTCCTGATCAGCAAGTTTTAAGGGTTTCTTGAGTTGGGTTGGCCTGAACATTGAAAAGCAGCTTGATATTATCATGCCTGCTTACTCACCTGACTGGTGCAATCTGGCAAGAGCTTTAATGCCCTCCCTTTAATGCTCAGAAGGCGGACAGACTGCATATTGCAAGAAGTATGCACATCCCTGTGATCAATCAAGATCGGTGAAGAAGACACCATGCTGAAAGGGCAGATGCTGAATAAAATGCCGTATTTATTTCTTTGAACTCAGTCTGCCTCTCTTAAACCAGCTGCTTGTAGGTGGGGGCACTGTGTTTGCTGCTGGAGACACCGGGCTAAACTCAGCTGCTGTTTGCCAGGACACGGACACATCCAGCTGAGCTCAGGTCACACAGCAGCATATCAGCAAAACTTGTAGCATATTTTTAAATCCTTCTTCCTGCTCAAGATTTGTCTAACATTTGATCTAGGACTACAACAGTAAATAAAGCAGTGCCAAGAAATGTTTCCATGAACTGGAAAGTGCTCATTTATTCTGCTAAATTGTTAACATAGTTCCCAGCAGAGTATTAGCCAACTCACACTCGTACAAAATACTCCCAGGCATGGTTTGGGAGTCAGCTCAGGCATCACTCCTGATTTGCAGTTCAATTCCTGCTATGCCGCTGCCCAGCTTGGAAGATAAGTTTCATGTTATGGCATGTGTCACCCTCTGCCAGCTGGCCCCAGTAACAGCAGATAGTCCTGGGCATATTTAACCTACCAAAGTCAATGCAGTCATTATTGCTAAGTGCTTTCAGATTGCTCCAGAACAGCAATAGACACAGCTCCTACCTCAGATCACTTCCCACCTGGCTATAACGTCTGAAAACTGCTGCAGTCTTCACATCCTGCTCTCTGGAAATGATTAAACTTCTCTGCCACTTCATTCCAAGCTCAAAGATGGGGCACAGGAGCGCTGGGTGTACCTGCTGCATGCAGGGTAGGAAGGAAATGAGAGAAAAATACTAGTATGAAATAAAACACACTCAGATGAAACAGAAGCAAGGCCTGAGGTATCTTGACCGTTCTCTTTCCTGTCTTTAAACACCTTGCCAAAGCAAGGGAACTCCTTTATCAGTTTGTAGAAGAGGAGGCAACACTCCAACACCAAGCTGGCCTTACAGTTTTAGAGGAAAGCTTGCTTAACAGAGAACAAGTTGTATTTGTTTTGAAGGGAGTATATTCAGACACAGGTGTTCCAGGAAGATCAACAGGCTGCTGTTGCAAAAGCTCTTCCTTCTAAGTGTCTTCTGAATGCAACAGAAAGTGAAAAAGCATGTCACAAGGTCAGGCTGAGCCCACAAAAATTCTGTTCCCCTCCTCAATTCCTTGAGCAGCCCTAGCTCTCAGGCGTACCTAAGAGAACCTGTGATCACAATGTAGTGCGGTAAAGTGCAAGCGCCAGGGGTAAAGTTCATTTATTCCATTATTCATTACAGGCATTTATACAAAGACTACACCCATAGCAACACTTTATAGGGCTTGGATTACCAGCCGTAACTATTCCCTGATAGCACTGAAACTTTATCAGGATAGAAATGGGAATTTTTTTCCCCGTCTGGCTGAACTTCCAGGTAGTGAAAAGCTGAGGGAAACGTGCCCCATTTCCTGAACATCAACAGGCTTTAGCTTAAACATGTTTTGTAAATGAAAGTTTAGTCCTAGACAACCCTTTAAAGACTTCAGTTCTTCACCAGTCTCAAGTATCAGTGACAAGTTACTGGGAGCAGCTTAAAACCCCTAAAACCCTGAAGACTGGAGAACATGACTCTCTCTTGTTTGCATCTCATACATATAAAAAACTACTTACATTCCAGGGAGAAGCTTGCCAAGCAACTGAGTTCTGCACCCACTTCACACTGATGAAAAGAAACACATGGTTTGTGAAAGGGAGGACAGGCCCTCAGCACCTTAAAATCCTGCCGGTCTTTTGCCTTGCTCACCCCTTGAAGGACAGCAGCAGAGGTTAGACAAGCTAGATCAAACCTTCACCCAGCTGAATGTAGTTCAAACTAAACAAACTAGTTATCTAAATTCCAGTTGTATCTAGAACTGTGACAACTAGAGACAGCTGCCACCTTACACACTGGAAATGCTCCCAGTATCAAGACACCTGGACCAGAACATTTCTGGGACACTTAAGAGCTGTGCCCTAGGTATGTGGTGGGAACTAAACACTCCCTCAGGCTTGAGCCGGGCAAGGACCCTTTGGGAACCCCCAATACAAATGCACAGGGCCAGGTCCCCCAAAGAGCTCTCAGCTGCACTTGCCATAAAGTAGCTGCTCACAAACATGCAAATGCCTGGGAGCTCAAGGGCAAAGTGGGGAAGCCTACATTAGTTTCCCCATCATCCTGAAGATGTTCCTCGTTTCCCCAGTGCCCCAATCCTGAGGCATGACCTCCAACTCACTTGTTGAAATGGTATCACCCCACAGGAAGGAACCAAAACTCCTCCAACATCTCAAACAGGGGCCAACCCCAGTTCTTTCCTTGCAGAAACAAACACTTCAACAACTAAACTAGAGCCATGCTTCTCCTCTAGCCCAGGCAGTCCTGTGCCT